TTTAATCCATGAGAGAAGATGTGTTGCATCTATCGACATAAGTTTTGGTAGTACTCTGGTTGAGTAGGGATTAGACCAATCCACAAAAGAACGCTCGCTCACTCGCGAGATTTTGGTGCCCCGAACTCCCTCACCAACATGTGCCATCATGTGGCCTGACCAACTGTGACCAACCTCCTCCAGAAAACAAAATAGCCAAAAGGCATTGATCCTTGGAGCTTCACAATGCCCATGCATTCTATCCTGAAAATAGAACATCACCTCCAACCTTCTCGCGGTGGGCAGAACCTTTCGCGGACTTGGCCGTTTCGTCGTTGCGTGGCGCGACGTGGCCCGGCCTTGACCAGGGTGTCGAAGCACTTCGCTCCGCCGTCCCCGGTCTTCTCCGCGATCTCCAGGACCAGTTGCCCCGTCCTCGAGCACAGCTCTGGCGGAGGTGCGAAGAAGCGAAGACGCCATGCAACGAAGGCAAAAATGGGTCCAACGTGTGAGCTGCGAAGGGTCTGAAGCAGATCTATGAAATAGACCCCCCATGCATCCTGGCGCCCCATAAACCTGACCAGATTGAGCCTTCCAAGATCGGCCAGAGGTGCCCCACGCGCAACAGCAGCACCGTTTCTCGTGATCCAGTGAGATTAGACCACACTCCCTGGAACACTCACCACCTGGGACTGGTCAAGCCGGATTGAACATGCTCATCCGATTTCTCCGGAGCATGCCAACAAGAAGGGGGACAAGAAGGGAGACAAGACCGGAGATAAACGGAGACAGAAGGGAGACAAGGCAGACACAGTGACCAACAAGAAGGGAAAAAAATAATGGAGACAAAAGGAAACAGAAGGGAGACAAGACGGACACAGTGACCAACAAGAAGGGAGACAATACCGAAGACAAAGAGAGACAAGAAGGGAGACAAGACGGGAGACAAAAGGAAACAGAAGGGAGACAAGACAGACACAGTGACCAACAAGAACGGAAACAAGAAGGGATACAGAAGGAAAAAGAAGGAACACCCAATGACCAACAAGAAGAGAAACAAAAGGAAACAGAAGGGAGACAAGACGGACACAGTGACCAACCAGAAGGGACACAGTAACAAAAAAGAAGGGAGACAAGACCGTAGACAAGACCGGACACAATGACCAACAAGAAGGGAGACAAGACGGACACAGTGACCACCAAAAAGGGAGACAAGACCGAGACAAAGGGAGACGTCTCGGAGACAGAAGGGAGACAAGAAGGGGCACAATGACCAAGAATAAGGGGGGACAAGAAGGGCGACAAAAGGAAACAGAAGGGAGACAAGACGGACACAATGACCAACAAGAACAGAAACAAGAAGGGATACAAAAGGAATCAGAAGGGAGACAAGGCGGACACAGTGACCAACAAGAATGGAGACAATGACCAACAAGAAGGGAGACAAGAGGAAACAGAAGGGAGACAAGGCGGACACAGTCACCCACAAGAAGGGACACAAAGAGAGACAGAAGGTGCGAGGCGGACACAATGACCAACAAGAAGAGAGACAAGAAGGGAAACAAAAGGAGACGGAAGGGAGACAAGACGGACACAATGACCAACAAAGGGAGACAAGACCGGAGACAAAGGGAGACAGAAGGGAGACAAGGCGCACACCGTGACCAACAAGAAGGGAGACAAAAGGAAGCAGAAGGGAGACAAGGCAGATACAGTGACCAACAAGAAGGGAGACAAGACCGGAGACAAAGGGAGACAGAACAAAAAACAAGCAAATGCGGAAAAGGGCCAGCAGTGACAGAAAGGGCGGACACATCATAAAGAAGAATTGAGAACCCCTAACAGTAAACTGTTTCGGGAATGAATAGAAATGTTGCATCGCCAGCGGAGAAGGGCGGACACCAGCAGTGAGACAAATGAATAGAAATGCTACATGGCCAACGTCAAAGAGCGGACACCAGCAGCGACAGACCTGGGAGACAAACGAGTAGAAATGGTACATGGCCAGCGGAAAAGGGCGGACACCAGCAGTGACAGACCTGGGAGACAAATGAATAGAAATGCAACATGGCCAGCGGAAAGGGGCGGACACCAGCAGTGACAGACCTGGGAGACAAATGAATAGAAATGCTACATGGCCAGCGGAAGAGGGCGGACACCAGCTGCGAGACAAATGAATAGAAATGCTACATGGCCAACGGAAAAGGGCGGACACCAGCAGTGACAGACCTGGGAAACAAATGAATTGAAATGTTAAATGGCCAACGGAAGAGGGCGGACACCAGCTGCGAGACAAATGAATAGAAATGCTACATGGCCAACGGAAAAGGGCAGACACCAGCAGTGACAGACCTGGGAAACAAATGAATGAATAGAAATGCTCCATGGCCAGCGGAAAAGGGCGGACATGTTGCATGGCCAGCGGAAAAGGGCGGACACCAGCAGTGACAGACCTGGGAGACAATTGCTACATGGCCAGCGGAACAGGGCGGACAGCGGCAGTGACACAAAGGGCGGACACATCTTAAGAAAGAATTGAGAACCCCTAACAGTAAACTGTTTGGGGAATGATGATTTCAGGGAGCGTAACTCTCATACCTGGAGCCTTGAGCTACAAAAACTGCTTCCTTATCTTCCTTGTATAGTATAGGTGTCAGGCTGTTAAGTGACTATCTCTGGGCTAAACTTTAAAGCTACGTCCTGAAACTAAAGAGTCTTTTTTGCACCAAGTCCCATATGTAATATGCCTTAAATCCCATCTCCGCTACTAGCAGTTGCAGCTAGCATTGCTTTACTCATATCATTTTGGAAGATCTCAATTAGAGCGCCTCTATTTGAGGTCCATGCAACATTTAAACACAAAAAATGTCTATAACTGTTGCGCAGACCTACGCACCACACACTACACACCCGAACTTCACCAAGGCTCGTCGTGGTCGCTCCCTGTGGGAGTCCGTAGGGGTCTGCATTCACCGTCACCATCGCCCCCACGCCCGCACGGCCGGCCGCGCGGCGCTACCAGAAAAGTGCGAATAAAAGGAGGAATGGAATTCAAATGCGACGGGTGTGTGGCGGTAGATGGAATTCAAGCTGGGCAGGCGAGGCCAAGAAGATAGCAAACATGGTTCAGCATTGCGAAGCCACCAGAGACCTTGTTGGTCGACAAGTGAATGGAAATCTTGTTCCTTTTGGGGGTCTTAAGATCCGGTCTTTCTGTGTGAGATGGGTATACGAACTTGCAATGTCCACAGTGGAAGAATCACGGAACCTCCCCAGGCCGCAAGTTGCTTTCTGCCAACCTTCTATCTCGGTCCTTTCAAAAATTTGGTCTTGCTGCTGGTTTGTCAGGACCACTTCGCTAGAGCAGCGTCCTTTGCGCCCCAAAACGATCTCGTCTCGTCACCTGGACTCCGGAAAGCTCCAAAATTCCGTGAAACGCTGGAGCCAAGAAGGCGCCAATGGAATCGCTCAAAGGATCGCCCAGGTGCACCGGTGTCCAAGCGACAAAAGGACGTCCGACCTGTATCAAGAGGGCCCCAAATCAGAGAAGCTCAGCTTGGAATATCGTGGAATGTCTTCTTTGGGTATGTCTCATGTCTAAGCAATAGACGTGTGGAGTGCTTTGTGTGTTTGGCAACAAAGCAAAGCTGGACCATGGACCTGTACAAAGTCACGTTCCTCTGGTCATCTGGAGGGTCCTCTGGCCATCACAGATGAGGCGATTGGAATGACTGGAGCCCAGAAACTGCACTGGAAGGCACTGTAGGTGCCAAACGAAAGATCATCACGGATGGGCAACCTTTTTTTTTAGCCCTGAAACAATTTTTTCTAACCCTCACCTTTTTTTAAACCCTGGAACCTTCTTTTCTAACCCTAGAAACCTTTTTTTTTAACCCTGCAACCTTCTTTTCTAACCCTAGACTATTCTATTTTAACCCCGGGTTAAAATAGAGTAGTTTCTTCAAGCTTCTTAGGGCGACAGGTGAAATGACTTCTAAGGAAGCTAGTTGCAGCACCACCAGTTGAATGTTCAACTCTAAGGCTGAGGCAATCCCACACGCCACCAGTTGAAGAATCGGTCTGCATCTTCGCCATCTTCATCATTCTGATGCAATATGTATCATTGCCAAGGCCTTCACAAATACGTGGGGCAATGCCAGGCATATCCAGGAACGCACAAACAGGCAGGATCAGGCAGGTCAGTAAGTAGTGGTAGTACTAGTACTAGCACGAGTAGTAGCAGTAGCACTAGTAATAGTATCAGTTGTATAAGTAGTAGTAGTAGTAGTAGTAGTAGTAGTAGTAGCAGGAGTAGTAGTAGTAGTAGTGGTAGTGGTAGTGGTAGTGGTAGTGGTAGTGGTAGTAGTAGTAGTAGTAGTAGTAGTAGGTTAGTAGGAGTAGCAGTAGCAGTAGCAGTAGCAGTAGCAGCAGCGGGAGTAGTAGAAGGCAACGAGGTTGAAAAAGTAGGTTGGAGGGTTAAAGAAACATGATTTACGGGTTTGAAAACAAGAATCCCAACGGGTTCATTTAATAGAGTCTTGGTTACGCTACACATTTTTCTGACCCGGGGTTAGAATAGCGACTATGGGGTAAAAATAAAGGTCAGGGTTAGAAAAAAATGTCAGTGGGTTAAAAAATATCCAGCCCATCACGGATCATCACGGCGGAAAAAGTGGAACCCAGTGATGCTGCTTGTTTTCGTCTGTAATGTATCCTTATTCGTTCTCCAATCGTGGAGGAACCCTCCCTTCAGCAACAACTACAGTATAACATGATCGGGAAAAAACAGCAATCAGTTGCGAAAGTTCTGCAGGATCTTGTGTCCATTGGCTCTGAACTGGCGTCATTTATAAAAAACCCGATCAACTAAGCGTAGCCATCTTGAGTGAGCTGTTCGGAACTGAAGGACACACATTCCCTGCCCCACCCGTCCTTCCAAAACCGTGCCACGCGTTGGTCCACGGCGCCCTACGGCGCCCACGTCCACGGTCCATCGTTTTTTTTCCGCCACGATCGTCTCATCACCAGCGCGGCCGCGGGACAAAGGGGTCCAGTTCAGAGCCGGGACGCTTCCTGGAGACCCGTGGGGAAGAAGGTGCATCCGGGCGTGACGGGGGGTGTCCGGTCCAAAGTTCGAAGGTCAAAGGCCAGTCTATGACTCTTTCATGCCAGTTCGATCATCTGTGCTGATGCTTCATGTCACATAGTGACATAGTCCACATAGTCCATTCACACCTTTCATTTTTATCTTAAACATGATTAATTCCTTTCATGTTCCCTTTAAAACATGATTATTGTTTGTTTTAAAAATGAAAAATGACAATGTTTAAAGGAGCAGTAAAAGGAATGGCTCAGTTTAAAACGGAAAATGAAAGGGAATCATCAATGGTTTATTTTCAATGATTATTTCTTTGCAGCAGACGCTAGATGAGCAAATGTTAGAGTTCCTTTTCTGCTGGGGCCCCGAAATGTCCATATATATATATTTATTATTTAGTCACCTTTGATGATCTAAGTTATCATAGTCATGGTGATATGGTAACCTATGAAAATATCCCATGAATAACGTCCACACAAGTGTCTGTGAACAAGTGAACATCTGGTGTATTGCTTGTTCGAAGACCTGCTTGAAGTTAACTTAGAGTTGAGTATGGGTTTAAATCCAGGCAGTGTTGGTTCACCTATGTTAAAACTTGCATGCAACCTTCCCAAGACACCGTTGATCTTCTGGGACCTGGATTGTCTCTGCAGGCCTTCAGAAGACACCGTTGATCTGTCACCTTGATAGTCTCTGCAGGGGTCTCTTATTATGGGTGCAATCGAACAACGGAAGCGGAATACGCAGCAGCTGAACAGACGAGTCTCATGCCCATGCCAGGCATCCCCATGCCAAAGGCTCCAAAGCCCTGCATCCGTGCGAGCCGGAACGCCGCGCCCAAAGGACCGTTGTCCAAACCGTGCTGCCGGTCTCTCAAGCTTTCAGCTTGAATCAGGTTCCATGCTTGCTCGTCGGGTATGAATATTAAAGGTCACATGGACATGAACTGAACATGCTACTGGGACAGAACAATACTAATTCGGATCAATGTAAAATTATATGGCAATAGTTGGCAACATGCGTACAAGGTACTGACCATGAAGGTGAAACATCTACCTCTTTGCGTCGATGATGACGAGGAGTCTTTTGACAGGCACCAAAACTTCAAGAAAGGCAACAACTTACAGTAATCAGATTCTCCCCCAAACTCAGAGTCTGTGGATGGTTCTTCCATCGGTCAGAGTCAGAGCAACTACAGCACAGTATACACTTGAGAGAGGAGGGGGTGAACGAAAGGTAGCAGGCAATCACAAGTAACCCTGGTAGAAGTCCATGACGGCGTGACCCGGCGCAGGGGGGATTTGATCCAGGGAGGCGGGGGGGGGGGCCCACCCCCCGACGAACAGAATCAACTCTTACAGGACCAAACTCAATGCACAATCCCAACTCCTGATTGTATAATACATTTTTGCTAAAGCAAGGAGAACTCAGGTAGCTCAAGCTACCTTTCGTGAAAAAGCCTTCAAAAGCCTTCAAAAGCCAAAAGATTCTCTTCCAAACAAACAAATACTTTGAACCGTGCCTTTGTACTCCAGACCGTCGAACAGAACGACCCCCAGACCCCTGCAGACCGTCTCCACCTTTCACCACCTCTCCGCGCACCCACCGCGCCTTGCCGCCGCCCTTGCCGCGCGCCACCGACTTCGCGAAGCTGCAGAGCTTGCCCGCCACCTCGGACCGGGAGACGGACGTTCCAACCGGGAGAGGTGGGACATACAGGTCGCGGCAAGAGAGACCTGGGCTTGGGGAAGAGATGTCCCAGCAGATTGTATATACATGACTTGACCAAAATGATAATATGTGTTTAAAGAATGGATTTATACAGAGATGTTATGCGAGTTTGTCACGAAACCCGCACGAAATCCAACATTTTTGGTTCCTGATAGCCTCCGTTCACCGAAGAGATCGTGACGGCGACTGTTTTTCATCCGAACAGTCCATCTCGTTCGCTTTGACCCCCCCCATGTGGGTCAAATCCGTCCACTTCGACCACCCACCAAGGTGCCACCAAACCACCCAACCTCAATCCATCCCACCAGTTGTCCCATTCCACCACCAAGGGACGTCCATGGTCTGTGGCGCCGGCTCGAAATCGCGGAAGACCCTGCTGCGAATCTCCGGTGTCAGGGCGTTCAAGGTCTCCTACAGCGGTCTCGATCCGCCCGGTGACGGAAAAAGGGTCTGGGGGAGCTTCGGTTTTGGGTTGGAAGGGCTAGGATGAAGAACGGAGGGTGTTCTGCCTGAGTCCTGGGCAGAAGATGGTTTTGGGGTGGTGGAAGAGCACCATCTGCGGCCATCTGTGGCCTGGGAATGCAAACCATTCCTCTAGAAACGCAAACATGTTGAGGCCTCGTTTGGTATACGCACTGTTCTCTTGGGCGGATGGTGTACTTCACATGTCTTCCTTCAACAGTACTTTGGTCAAAAGATGATGTCATAGAATATCTCAAATGATCTCAGATTTATGATCTTGCCCCACCTTGGATTGTTGCTACGCTCCAAGTTGACTACAACTAGCCCACTGCTGCACTCCACTGCTCCACGTCGTAGTCGGCGCCGCCGGTCGGACAGTCCAGGACCATGGGGTTCTCCGCCACACCCCACTTCTGGAGGAACTGCTGCTCTGAAAGCTCCACATGATGTCCACCTCTGAAAGAGCGAGACCAATTTTAGAGGATCCATGTTCCTGAAAAAACTAATCAAAAGCTATGCAAAACCTCTCTGAAGACAGCATGGGATCGTGGCGATGGGATCGTGTTCCACCAAAAAGCATGGCAGCATGTGACTGTCAAATCTCATGCCGCTCTGGACCTATATCAAGTGAGAACTGGATGGTTGGGACCACCGGATCCAAGCCACGTGGGACCCTGGGACCGTCCTCGGAATGGGTGAAAACAAAGCACCGAATGGCTGGGACCCGTTGATTTCCAAGAAAAATATGATTCCAAGAATCTTCAAGATACCGTTCCTGAATTTTGGCCAAACAAACCAACCACTGCAAACACCAATTGGCGGTCACGTCTCTAAAAAGCTCGCGTCTCTAAGGGGATCCGTTTCACAGGTCGCTTTGAAAAGAAAAACAACCAAAAATGCAACAAAAACACCCACAACCCCTCTATGTACGAACCTGCTCAACTCAGCACGAAGACGTTGTCCAGATATATCACAGGAAGCCCAATCCCTAGGGATCCAGTAGTACCTTCTCAGAAGGTGGGACTGGGGTGGGTGCCAGGAGGGTCCAGGTGCCTTCTGAGAAGGTACGACTGGATCACTAGGGAATAACAATCCAACCTTAGCATCAAACAATCAAGTGCGTCCGTAAGCTCAAAGTCCTCCCCGCTCCACCTCCGACCCGCTCGGCCGTGCGGGGCCGCTCTTCCGCTCTTCCGCGCCTGCTCCGCCTCCTCCCTCCCGAATCACGGGGAATCCTCGCACCGTTCGGCACCGAAGGCGGGAGCCGAAGGGATGTTGTGGACGTTGGAGGGTTGAGTTGGAGTTCGTTGGATTCGTTGGAAAGGTCTTGTGACTTGTGTAAGGCCCTTTTGCCACATCGCATCGCTGCTGGCAGAGACGTGTCACCCTGTTTGTGGTTGACATCTCAACCTGCGCCGTGAGAGAATTCGTTGAGAGCGGCATCTCAAAGGGTTGGTTCAAGTCAAAGAAGATTTAAAAAAATATTGAAGAGATTGTTTGACATCCACCACATCCTGTTGTTGATGGACACTTCATTGTGCTACACAGAATGGATCCACTCCCACAAAGACTGCAAGTGGTGCAAGTACGTGACCAGAGCGGAACGAACTGGTCCCTTGACCAAATCTCATACTCACTCCACTTGCACTCACCGACAAACTCCGCCACACTCAACTCAACCCTCTCGAGTAAGTTCCACAGAAGTTGAGACTGCTCTGCAGTTTTCTTGACCTTTCTTGGTTGCCCCAAGAGAACAGCACCATACCACCTAGAACCCGCAGGGGCCCTAGAAGTTCGCCGCTGCTCGCGTCTCGCATCTCCTGACGCACCGCCCTGACTTTCGGCCCGTCTCTCCGGGCCTTGAGCCTCCATGATGGTGTGCGCGAAGGCCTTGAGCTTCCCCGTCATGCTCCGCGTGCCCGCGCGTGGCTGGAACTCCCCCAGCACGGTTTCTGGGCGAAGGACCGACTGAGGACGTGGCCATGGAGGCACCGCCGTGGCGATGGAGGTCGTTCATGTCAGTACCCCTAAGAGTCACCACTCCAACGCAGTGCTATTTTGGCGATATATTGTTTAACGGTTGTTTACCGCACCGTATTGTATTATGAGTTGTTTGATGTTTTTTGCATGCTTGTAGACCTACAAGAGATGTAAAAGCCAGTTGAATCATGAAAGCATATTATAAAAACTCTTGATTCCTCAAGCCCCCCGCCAGACATGGATTGTGGTCAGCCTTGTCATAGGAGTCGAAAACAAAAAGAGTCTACATGGCTTGAATTCCCAGAGTCCCATGAACCAGTTTTTTTCATGTGTCTTCCAGAGTCCGAAAAATCGCCGCGCCGGTCCCAGTTCGCCCGGTCTGAAGATCTGCCCGGGCCACGCAATGGCTGCTCTGGCACAGTCTCGAGGAAACGCACCGCGTCCTCCGAAAGGCAGCGGTTCCAGGGGATGGATCTGTTCCTTTTCGGATGGATCTTTGGTATGTCTAGCGGTCTAGCGGTCTAGCTCGCACGCAATTCATCCGATCCAGTCATATCCTGGGCCAGCTCCACATGTGTGCAAACCTGCAAATTCTGCAAACAAACGTACGTTTCACAAGTTCATGATTCCGCTGGTGAAGTCCTTTTTGTTTGGGTGCCCATTTCATCTCCAACAGCTGGACCATGTGGCACCCCCCATGATGTCCTCTTGGGAATGACAGAGGGGTCGATTGTCTAATATTATTAGGTTGTTCACTTGGGGGTATCCCCTCTAATAATCAAGCAACCAATAGCAAAAAGGATGAAAAAGGCCATCATGAGTGCTATGAGTGGCACTCATGTGGGTGTCTTTCAGATCATTTGGAACCTTCACCCGCCTTTTTTCAGCCTCACGTGTCACCTCACTGGGTCCTCCTCCCAAACCCACCCAGCTCCCAGCGCCTCGTCCAGCGCCCACTTCCGGGCGAACTCCGCGATCGATGGGTTGGCACTGGCTGCCGCCGCCTCGGCCCCCAGCTACAGCGCCACGCTATGCGCCACGGTGAACGTGCGCTCTACGACGTGGCCGGGAAACGCGGTCGGACCCTTCGTGGCGTTCGTGTCAGACGGTTCGGCCTCCTGGACCCTTCGGGTCCGGTGTTGTATACAGACCGGGCGGCGATGTATTTCTGGACCGGTCGCACGCGGAAAGGGCGGAAAGCGGAGCCTTATGGAAGCCTTTTGAATCTACATGCGTCCTATCAATTGGAGCCTGATTGAAAGAATGGTTGTTCTCAAGTCACCTCAAGATGTTCGGAGGTTCTGAACTTTTACATCTACTAATAGGACCGTAGGACCACATAGGACCATAGGAGCCTGCAGGTCGGACGGTAGATCAAGCAGAAAACCGTTCCTCCAAGGCGCCTTCGACCAAAAAAAGAAGCTCTCTGTGGCCCCGGTCTTCAAGCGGAATTGGCCCAGTTGCAGGCTCTTCTTTTCAGCTGATCAACATCCCTGACAAACCAATGTGACTGGGTCGTTTTCTAAAAGATACCGTTTTGGGGGGGCGAAACTGATGGACCATCATTGGAACATGTGGCATCTGCTATTAGGAGCTGGATGGGTTCACCAAGAGTTCGAATGGTTGCACCAGAGCCCTTTCATTCATTTTTTTCTACACCGCCCTGGGTCCCCACAGTTCACCAAATCTGAAAGCAACCCCTGGGGTGTAAAAGGTGTTGGCTTCCAAGATTCGAGCAAACCCTCACAGCTTGGTTCAAACATGTTTCGCAATGTGTGGCATGTGTTTTAGCCGATTCCCATGTGTTTCAGGAGTTCTACACGGTTGTCAGTCATGTCCCTACTGTACCTACTACTATTGTGTGAGCGAGAAATCATGATAAATCTCTTATCCTCTATTTCCATGCCAACTCCTGCTGCTTCTCAACAGATCCACGTGTCAAGTAGACCCCGACCAACAAGGGCCCCAACAAGGGCTCCAAAACGGACGGGACGGGACGGGACGGAGTCCCAGGAGCCGATGGTCTCGAAGGATCTTGGAATCGTTCCAAGACACCTCGCGGTTGCCGCGTCGAAGAACACCGTGCTCGGTGCTCAGGGCTGCGTCCGGTGCGGGTGGGTGTTCCTTCTTCCGAAGGAAACGAGGAAAGCCTTCTTTTCTTTGCAGTTCTTGGAATGTTTCACAATAGTTCGGAATGGTGTGCCCGGAATTCAGGCATTCATGCCACTGGGGCAGCCCAATCGGATGAGATTCACCGATGAGACCAAGGGGAACTGACCCAAGAACATAAAGAGAGACGGTCTCACGAAATCCAATATAGACTATCATAAACTTGCAATCCCAAGTAAAACCTCTTATGGGTTGTTACATTAAGACCCTGGAACCCCTTTTGTACCATTTCTCAAACCTCGCGTGGGGTTGGGCCGTGCTTTTGCGCCGCGGTGGCGGCCCGCTCCGAGCTCAGCTCAGCGGCTCCGCGCAAAGGTCTGGAGCTTCCCATCCTCGGCCACACGACGACCCCGCCCACTCGAGGCAAACAACATCTCCAATGGGTCCAAAAGGGAAACCAAAAGCCCAGGAGTCACATGGAGTTGGGTGGTTTTTGGTCCCATCCAGTGGCCGTGGATGTGAGGATGGACACCCCGACTTCCTCCAATAATTAGGCGCTCCTTTGTGACTCCTAGGCGTCTCGTTTTCTTCAGGACAACTTTTTTGTCTCCTGCATGACAGAAGGTGGAGACTATTCACCTGATCCGAATGGCGGAGAATGTGTTTTTTTTCGGTTTCGCATGGCTTCCATCCACCTTTGGTGCTTCTTTCCACCCGGATGCAACCCTGCACACATTGGGATCCGAATGGCCAACCGCGCTTAGTGTTAGTGCTCTGCGACTCCTCCTCCACAAAGAATCTGCTCTTTTCTACGAGAAAAAAGGCCGGTTTCTCCTGCAGGGCACACTCTGCAACCCAGGGTTCGTTCGCTTCAGGCATTCCAAAAAGAAGGACACTCACGCGTTCCCTGACGATCCAATGGTGACCGGGGGGTCAAACGGTCAAATGACTCGGATTTCTTGAGCTTGTCGATCCCGTCTCCCCATGGTGGCCATGCCCAAGCCCTTCGTGTTGAGCCCAGTGGCCAGGCTAGCAGTACCGGCAGCCGGGCTAAACTCCGCCATCACAATATTCTGCACCTCCTGAGTGGGTGAGACGAAGCCAAACATCACCTATTCTGCACAAAAATCCGCAAAAATAAGCAAAAAGGCGAGCTGGGCGGATTGAAGGAGTCTGTGAAGTGGGGATTAGAGCTCCATTTCAGGAGATGTGCTAGTTGCACCGCTCCAAGGAGTTCCGAGAAGTTGAAGATCGATTGAAGTCGGGCAGACCACACCCAAGTGTGCAGAAAAAAGGCGAATATCTGCTTCTAAACCGATCAGACTTGTGTGCGGACTCAGGTGAACGAAGGGTGAAAGGACCACATCATGCCACGGATTGGTTTTAATGTTCCCAGCAACTGGCATGTTTGGCAAGCAACCGCCAAGGACTTGTCCACCCCACGCTGGAGTCCCACCCAGACTGCCCCATCTCCCAGACCTTACTCCCTCTCTCCACCTCTCCTGTGGAAGCTGAAGGAGCGTCTGCCTGGAGGTTTCGCTCAAGTGCCATCGTGCACAAAAGGAGTTCACCGGATCCACTCCACTGGCGGCCGCCCCGGCAGCCGCCAGCTGTGCTTGTTGCAGCGCTAGCTGTGGTGAGAGGGCCATGGGCAAGGAGACCTGGCGTGCAGGAGAGGGGATTGGCGGGGGGGGTACGGAAATGGTGAAGGGAACGTCAGGTATCCGTGGTGGTTGAACAGTTGAACCTATATCTTTAGCCTTGCATATCGCGTCCGGAAAGGTGGGGGGAGAAGTTTGGAAATTGATATCAAGGTAATTACATAGAACATTTGACACATCCCTGCGAATCCCACCTCATTAAATTGGGTCCCTTGAGTCCCTTAACTTCTCCTGCCCCAGTTCGACAAAACAGCTTCTTGGAGCTCCCAGCCCTCGCCAGCTTCCCACCCCCGGCTTCTGTCCCCCGTCCGAGTCAGAAGTCGCCTGCGGCATCAAGAAGAAGCTGTTCAATGGATCCATTCCTCCAAAAGCCGCCAAGGGCGACACCAGCTGCGGCAAACCTCCCAGCTGCGCGGGCGGAATCACCACCTGCGGTGTGTGCCCGCCGCCCAACGCCGCGGCCGCGGCGGCCGCGCCCAGCCCGGGCACGGGCGGCGTGGAGAGTTGGAGGCGATCCGCCACGGACCTGGCGGTGGCCACGGTGAGTGCAACGTTTCTCAAGTCGTAGTTGGAGGCCATCGAAATTAGGTGGGAGGCCATTTCTATGGTTGAAGTTTGTAGAACTTTCGCTAGTCTCGCTGCGGCATGGAAAAAGTTCATAGTCCCAAACTTTGATGAGTGCATTATGGTTGTCCATGTCCATCATCACAACGTCTTTGGTGAGTGTATTGTCGTTCTTCAAGCAAGACATGCACTTTCATCAATTTCACCCGAGCTCACTGATTGGGACTCTCTGCCTAGCAAAGGAGCACAGCCTGCCATTGATATTCATCGTATCTCCTGGCAGGTACCAAGAGGCCTCTGGGTCCTCTGGAGCGTCCAAGAGGCTTTAGTTGGGGTTATCATTGATTCTGCCAGGGTCTTTGGCCCGTTCCAAATAAAGAATGCAGGAGACCGTCGACCTGCACAAAATCCCTCAAGAAACCTGCACAAAGCCCCTCATGCCTCATGTTGTTTGCTTTTTTTCCGGCAGGTGGCAGGGGTTCCATCCCAGCCAAATGGGTTCGGGCTGCCCCACGTGGAGAACCTAATGAGGTGGACCCAGTTGGCCACTCGTGTACCTTTGCAAATCTTTGCAGATTCCCAGTCCCGAGGCTGATGGGGATTCTTTACAATCAGGGCATCTTGGGACCCCAGCCCAAGCAGTTGAATCAGATCAAGGTATAGCATAAGGTGGCTATGCATGTAGAGTTGTGCGCGATCGTCACATGGCGATCGATCACGCCAGCTCCAACCCCCTTTTCCGCGAAAGCTGAGCCGAAAGGGAACGGTCAGTCATACCTCAAGACGTTCTATCTTCCTTCTCCCACACACAGCTGCCCCCCGAACGGCTTGACACCGCGACCGGGGCCACTGGGCGACCGCGCGCAGCACAACCACCGCGAGCCCCTCGGGGCTCCGCACCCTTTGGATCGAACTGCTCCAGGACCTTCGTCCTCAGGGCGAAGGCGGAGGGCTGCTCGGGCGGGGGCCTGGCCTGGAAGTCCCAGTGTGCGGTAAATATCTCAGTCTGCGACAGGCCCAAACGGCTGTGCAACATGTTGCAGCATCGTCTCGCTTTGTTGTGGCCATGCGAGTGCTTTGCCGGTTGGCTCCTTTCGCCTCTGAACAAGCCCTGGCCACATCTCTATGCCCCTGGCCAAACAGCATAAAGGGCATCCAACCAACCCGGCGGCACCTCCTTCCCCCTTTCTTTTCCAAGACTCAGCACCAGCGGCGGGAGGCTTTGCAGGAAGCCCATACTCTCCTTCAACTACCAAACTCAATTCAGCGCTTAGAAAAACTTGAGGGGGATCTGTGCTTTTTGAGCGATCCCAAGCTTCTGCAGCGCCCGATCTTAAGGGAAAAGTCATCTTCAAAACCCTTGTCAATCAATGAAATCAACCCTTGTCAAATCCGTTCTCCCGACTTTCTGTGGAATTCTTCCAGCTTCTTCAATGGCATGGCAAACGTGCTGAGCCGTGTGTTCCAACTCTCTCCTGGCACCCTAGCCCGATACTACTCGCCCCATACGGTCTGCCTATTATTGGAAAACGACAACATCTTACAAAAGCATCTTCAGAAAACGGAGCATGTGGTGCAGAATGCTCATGAGAAAGTCGACTTTCTCATGCATGTGGAAGGCAAACAGCATGCCGAGCTGGTGGTGAACTCCACTTCCATGATTTCAGGGAAAAGAGATCCATGTCCAGAAACTGGTGAAGTCCACTTCCCCGATGATGCTTTTCAGGGATGACTGATGTCGCACAGTTCTTGGTCCCAAACGACTCACGCGCCTCGCCTGGACGCCCCAGCGTTGCACAAACTCCTCCAAGCGCCTGGGACGTTGACCCGGTGGGGATGAGGGCCGCGGACGCCGCTGGGCACTTGGGGCACAGCTTGGGGCGCCGCAGGTGGGGCGAATGGTTGCCACTGGCAGACCGGAAGCTGCGAACCCGGTGGATCGGTCCCAAGGTCCGGTGTCGAGTCCGGTTCGGTCGGTCTCCCTGCCGGGTGTCCAGACGTCCCGCGTTTGAAACATCTGATCGGCCAAAGAAAACGCCGGGCCAAACTTGGATCCAAACTCGTCCAACCAGCCCTCTGCCTGTCCCAGGGTCTGCTTGAAGGGTCCCTGCCACCGAACGTTCCACAAATCGCCCGCCCGGAGGAAAAACCCGCCGACAGCTGGGCCTGTCACCATTGGCAGCCACAGCACCTCGGGTGTGCAAGGTGTTTTGGGCATGTCGTTGTGGGTTTGGGAAGTAGCTCCTTCCACCAAATATACCCAGAATGTTGGGAAGCAAGGATTCATGGTACGTATAAAGTATGTTTAAGTCAGGCTTCATGAGCCATATGAGGATCATCCTTGAAAAAGCTTGTCCATATCTTAAACCAATGATCATTCAATGAACGCCTCGCCGCATGTTCAGAACTCCAAACCCCAAACACCAAACAACAGGAACAGTGGCCCTCCCTTAACACTGCTGCATTTGAATAAAAACGCGTGATGAACCCTCCTAACAGCCTACTGCTATACTGCTTAGCTTAGTGCTGCATCTCATCTTTAACCAGCCTCCAACTGCCTACTCCCGCCCGCAATCAAACTCCCAAATGCTTTGGAAGATACGTCTCTTCCACCTTCCAGGAACCAATGAACTCTTCTTCGCCTCAGCCTCCCGGCTCCATCCCTGAGAGCCTGGGCCTCCCGGCTTCCGGAAACACTCTGGTGACGGCTGAGGATGGATCGCGCGAAGCCCTTGAGCTTTCCCATGATGTTCTGCGTATCCTGCAGCAGAAGCCCGCCCGTGCGGGAGGAGGAAACCCGGCGGCCGTTGGGTTCGTTGGAGTTCGTTGGGTTGTGGAACACGGAACTACTGTTTGGCCAAACCATCACCCTACAGTACTAAAACGGTCAGAAAATGGATGGGGGATGCGAAGATCACGATTCTGGGTCAAGGGGCATCAAACATATTGTATTGGCCAGTTACTGTTACTGATATTCACCGTCAACGACCATAGGCCGTCGTTCATGCGCACGTTGCAGGAGAATGGGCTTTGTTTCTACATCCTCAGGAAGTTTGTGGTCTGGTTCGTCACATGCGGCACAAACGACGTTTGTGGTCGTCCGCAACCCCAAAAAAAAAAACATCCGGTCCGGTGGGCGATGTGGGCGCAATTATGTAAAAACACAAACAAGTATATAGCTATATACAATATCTGGCAATTGTTTCTAGACGACGGCATCCAGCATATTAAACTACAGTATATGCTATAGTACTATTCTACTGTATCAAACGTTCACCTCTCTTCTTTCAACCAACATACTTGATCCAACCAAACATTCCCCAACTCTGGACCTTTGGGCCCGAAAGAACCCACCGTCCGAGACGCCCACCCGTACGAACGCACGAACGGCATGGTGTCCGCTCCAGACCCTTCACGACACGACACGTCGGGCTTCACGCCACGTCGGTCGTCTTCGTTTCGGGCTCCTCCTTGGGTTCGAAGTCTCGCACCTGAGGGGGAGAGAGAAGCGGTTGGCGAAGCGGTTGGCGAAGCGGTTGCGGGACGGAGTGTGGGGTTGGTGGGTCTGGTGTCCGAGGTGAATCCGTGTGGACTGAGGACTGAGGCGGACTCCGGAGAGCTGGATGGTTCCGGGATGACTGCGTTGACCGCTTCAAAACTTCAAAGCGGCCATTCTCAAAGCGTGACCTGGTCATGGTCCAAGGTCCCAAGGAGAAGACCAAAGACTCCAGTCAAAGACTGCTGCGTGTTTCGTGACCTAGAGCATGTATCTGTCATCTGGATGGGGCGGTGATTGATTCCGCCAAAAGGAAAGGGACAAATGAATGAACTCTAGTGGTTCTGATGATTGATTCTGGACCATCTCCTTTGAGCTTCCTACCACCACCAACGCACAGCAAGACATTCCGGACCCGACCCTCTTTTCGCTTTTGGGCCGCTCGCTCAGGCCGACGGCTTGCCGCTCTGAGAACCTTTTGGAAAGGGCGTTCTGTGGCTCCGTTGCTCCGCCGTTTGCTTCGGGGACGAGTTCCATCACTAGTATCTCTGAAGACTTTGCCGTGCTTGGCTCTTTTGGTCGACTGCTATCCTCAATGAACGCCATCGTCCTGTCGACCAACACAGAGCTTATATCTTCTGATCAACGTTAGGGCCAGAGCTTCCAAATATCATGAAACCGTCTGGGTTCTATCCCGAAAGCATCTGGTTTACCATCTGCTTGACCTGTTCTGCCCAGTCCTCGCTCTGGACCCCCACTCTCCGGACCGAGTTCGACCGATCCGGATCCGGATCCGTCCAAGGCGCCAGAGCGTCCTTCACCTCCTGCGGTAGCTCCCGGACCCACTTGGCCTCAGCGCGCTGTGAGCGCGCGCATCTTTGCTTCCCTGTCCGAGTAGGGCAAGGGCAAGGTGGAGGTCTTCAGTTGGATTTGGTCTCCGGTTTGAGTTGTTCAGTTGAATCCACGAAAACCCGCAGGTTTGATGAATGCAAACATCTAGACACTTCGGAAAAGGAAAGAAACCGTTGGACGAGTTCTATCCAGTTCTCAAGGAGAGGTAGCTGAATTCGGATCCTCGCAGACGAAGCAAAGGCTCAGTGCATGACTATTGTAGTCGACTTTCTGTGGGACAAATCACCGCTGCAAACAATCAAAAGTTCGGTCGAAGGCTGCATGGTCTTCAGATCCCAACGCGAATTGGAGGATGGTGGATACAGACTGTCTTCATCGGCATGAATCACACTGGATGGTCTTCCACAAGCACCGCGGACCACGAAACCCCTCAACCAAGGGGCGGTGGAGACGTCCAAGCTCCACTTTTGGATAAAAGCCTGGAGCGTGTTTGGCTCAGTGGAGATGCCAAAATCACTTCGCCACACTTGCATACCCCTGGCCGCCAACATCAGTACACCTTTGCATGGCTGGTTTGGTGGGTGAAATGTGCCCTTTGGGCACCCCTTCGTGATGGGCCATCCCCACTTCTGCCGCCATATCTGACAATGCAGAAGTCGAAAAAGGTCCACCTGCCACACCGATTCATCGGCATGTTTCCTCGCCCCCAAATAGAAAGCACCGAACGAGCATGACACCCCAAAACCACCTGTTCGCGAGCGCGCACGTGAAACCCGCTCGCGCACGGCCCCGCTTTCACGGAGTTCGCCCCGCGAGCGCTGCGCCTCCAACTCCTCCTGGCGCGGCTGCCGCGAGATGCCCTTGGCGAAGGAGTAGAGTTTCCCGGCTACGTCCTGGGTCCCCTGGCGTGTAGCGACGCACAGAAAGGAAAGGAAGGACGGTGCGAGGAGAGAGGACTGAACCCCAAAACAGAGAATGACATGTAGAGTGCGTAGTGGATGGGAAATGGTTTTTGGCCAAGTGGAGAAGAATCAGTAGGATGATCTTTCAGAAAGTATCAAAATGCTACCGCATGGTTCATGCTTGTTAATCCTTTATAAGACAATGAGAATCCGCTAAGTGGCCCCAAGTGATGAGACTGAATGAAACCATATACGAACTGAGTGAGTTAGTATCAAAAGGGGCAGATCCTGCGTACCAAAAGGCATTACAGTACTTTGTTTTTGTCTTTTCACCACGATCTTTGAGTGTTCACTTGGTAGAAACCCTGCCGGAGCGTGTGCGTCTCATGTGAAGTGTGCAATACATAGGCAACAGCTTTGGGACTGATGAGACGCCAACTGGGACGCTGTTCATCATGAGGATGCCAGGTACACGGATTTCTTATACTCTTCGGGAGTGGTGGTTCCATCTTGGGCTGGCACCTAGGATGAGATGTGAACTACTCGTTCCTAAGACACCCAAGATGGCTAAACCAACGACACTCCATGGCCACTGGAACAGTCCTCCAAGTGCGGAGAACGATTCCCCAAGAAGAGGGCCAGGGGCGGCCAGGGTGTTCAACTCTTCAACCGTTCAGCTTGTTCCGAATCGTTCCGAAGCTGAGGGGTAAGCCCTGCAGGTCCACCTCTCCTCCAATGATGACACCCCTCATCCATGAGTCTGCACGTCTGCGGACGGTTGTAGCCTGCTCACTCCTAAAACATCTCCTTTGAGGTTGGCTTCTAAGATCTCTTTAACAGACCAGCCTTAAGCCTGTAGCGGTCCCCAAAATCCATAGAGATGGCTTCTAGCGTGAATTGAAATATGGTCTGCTACACTCCAACTCACTTGTGTTGAATTGAAGAAAATGGGCCAATCATGAAGACCTGCGTCCTGAACAAAAGGGCCATCTGCGTCCTGCGTCTGGTGAATCAGTCCTACTTGTATAACTTAAGAGGCCATATATCGCAGCCGCAGTTCGGGACATCGATCTGGCAGCCCCAAACATCCCCTAAATGGCCTCAGCTTTGGCCCAAATGGCCTCACCGATCACCTTACTCCCAACTGGCCTCCCTTCACCCATGCGGGTCCCGCCTCATGCGGTGCAAAGTCTCTGATCACCACCTCCAAGGCTCCTGCGTCCAAGGACCTGGTGATGTTCGTGTGGTCGGAAGTGGTCCGCATGTTCCAAAGCAAAGTCCATGCAGAATTTCAAGGCAACTCCGATGTTGGGGCCATTGAGTACCAGTTCAGTTTCTTCATGAAGTTTTGTCTGGTTTGGCTCACAGAAGGGGTGATGTGGGAATCCGAAAAGCTTTTCAGAATCTCGATGCTTTCGGGAAAAGCAGGGTATAGTCGTAGAATGTGTGCTGAGCACGGTCTGTTCTCGCTTCCGCCCAGTTCGGTAGAACGACCCGCTGAACGTTCCGCTCCACACGGTACTGTACGCACGGTGTGCGCGAGCGTTCGCGAGCTCGGAGCTCAGAGCTCCACCCGCCTGAGGAAGGCTTGTGCTTCGGCATCCAGCTGCCATTTGGAACAGAACTGCTGCAAGGACTCTTCCATCAGCTCATCAGCAGGCGAAGGTTCCACTGAGAACCCACTTTCTTCGCAGAGTTTCCAAAGGTGACTTCGTGATGGTGCTAACTTTTTGTGGGGCTGGCTTGTGGGAGGAATGATAATGAATACATCTGCCTATCTGCCGATGAGGTTCAGAACGACCTCAGCTGAAAAAGGACTACATGAAGTACGCAACGAACTGTGAATCTTGGAAAATGTCCATCAATTATTCACCTGTCTTGAACTTGGGGAAGTCGTATCGCTGCGTTCTGGCAAAACCCCGGTGTTTCTTTTTGCTCACCCTTGTGGCTGCGACTGAAAGTATCCAGAAAGTTTCATTTGGGTGGTTTTTGCAGTTGTAACAAAGAGTAGATTGCGGATTTATCTCCATTGGTGAGCTGCTCCTCTTTGCTCTGAAATGACAAGAAATGCCAACAACTCCAGCCCCTTGGCAACGCCCGGCTCTTCGGCGATGTGAATCGAGCAAAACCACGCGTGTTGGTGAACAAAAACGTTCGGTGGACAAAATGCCCTTTGTTTTTCTTGACCATCCAGCAAGACTTTTCTCCAGACTGGGTTCAGAACATGCAGTCGTGCGGGTCCAAGCTTTTCCAACTCCCTCGTGTCTCGAGCTTCTCTCCGCCACGACACCCGGATCGCATGCACTGCGATCCGCCTGTGTTTCACCAGATCAAAACCACAACCGTTGCCGTTGACGTCTCGAGCTTCTCTCAAGACATTGCTTTTCGGGGGAGCCGAATTTCCGACGGAGCTTGATTCCGGAGTGCCGACTGAAACAGAACTCATATGTCCCGACAGAGGTCAGAGGTCCGCTGCCTGGCTTTCCCCAATGAGGTTTTCGGGGTCCAAAGGATGGGGCAAGGTTTCCCTCACTAGGAAAATAAGTGGAGTGGGAATCCTTTGGAGAATAGCCAAGACATATAGGAATTCAAGGTTTTCTAGTAGAGACTGGCCGTGGTTGTTTCTTTGGAGGTCACGTGATTTCTCAAATCTAGCCGCGGACTCCTGTGATCTTGGTGAATTGCGACATAGTTGGTGAGTTGCCTATGGTGAGTTGCTCAGTCAACGATAAGCTACTTCGAACTTGTATTCCACCCAAAGAAAAACCCTAGCGCTCCAGTCGTACCTCCTCAGGTTCGGTATGAAAAAACTCCTGACACCCACCCCAGTCCCACCTTCGAAACCAAGGTACGACTGGAGCCCGTTTGGGGAAACAAATCACTTGAAGCCGAGAGAAATCCCCGTTTGATCAGACGGACGGATTCACCTTTTTCGGAACCCGCCACACTCGGCAGTCACGGACGGCCCTTGAGGCGATGTGACACGTCACAAGCAGCTGAGTCACGAGTGACCAGCAGAATGACCACGGTGAAGCAGGACATCCCGATGTAACCCCTTGCAACTGGCCGAGCTGCTTGCTTCCCCCATTCATGCCAAGTTCGAGCTCGCCACCCCATCAACCACTACTTGGGGTACATCGCCTTCCCAAACAAGCAGAGATACCGAGATACCATCATCTGGCCAAATGACCATAACGGACCTAGACTAGATACAATTCTTCTTCTTCCTCTTCCTCCTGCTTTTGTTGCACTTCAGGCCGGTCATCAGGGACTTCTGCCTGACGGGCGGGCGTTCGATTTGAAGCCCATGGGAAGCCGTTCCTCCCCCGTTCGTCAATTCCTGGGGGATGAATACGTGCGTCCGCTCCGGTCAACTTATATATATATATATATTTATAGATGCCTGCTTTCAATCACTCCGGTCAACTCGTTACTTCCTTCAACAGCATGGCATTCCGGTCAACTCGGACCTGGAAGCCCAAGAGTTCGTCAAGGTCGAGAACAGGCTCTTGCACTTCATCTAGTGCCCTATCTCGTTGCTCGCACGGCACATCCTGATCAGGCTTGTGTCATCCAAAAGGAAACCAAGCAATCAATCATCTTACTTTGCTCAAAATTGATTCAAGCGCTCAGAAACGAAGCGAAACATGTTTTGAGCCAATGTTGGGTTCGACCGTTTCCAGGCGTGCCGTGGCGTTCGTTCGTCCGTGAGTTCGTCGTGACCTCCCCGCGCGACGGATCGGGGACGTTCCTGCGTTCCGGTGTCGTTGTTCGTTGCAAATGAGACGTCAAACGTGTTGAAACGGTTTCAGACATGATCGCTTTTTTGGGGGGGGAGATGCTATTGGTCACCGGTTGAAATACATGCAAGAGAGAGAAAAACAGGAACACAATGCCAACACACACACACACGCTGTTGGAATCTCGTTAATGAGAACAACACAATCAAAGCAGTCACTGAAGCCTGGAACAGTTGAATGATGGTTCTTTGAATGTTCAGGTCATGAAGGTGCAACGTGAGAGCAAGGAGATGCTTTGATGAACACCGACAACTACAGCTGATTGATATGACTTCACTATCTGGAAAAGGCTGCCATTGCATACCTTCATAAACAGAATGCACTTCCGAAGGGGTATGAGTACAACGTGCATGCTGAGCTCGCTTCTGAAACTGCCAGTCACTGGAGCTGAAGCAACACCAATGAAACATCGATGAAGAATTGGTTACAAGTTGCTGCAACTTTCTGGAGAAGCTCTCACAATACTTACTAATAATTCAGAATCAGTGGCGACTTCGCAGGAGAATCTCGAATCAGCCCATGAAGGCTAATGAACATGATAAGGAGATCAAGGTCATGGGTGCCAATGGGGAATCCAATCTCCAACCCAGCACAGTCAACACCAAACCTCGTATGCTGCGCGAACTCCTTGCTCGTCGAGTGAGCGTCCCCCACAGGGCCGTGACTCTCATTGTTTCGACGCGGCGCCAGGACCCGTCTTCGATGCCAGGAAAGCCAAGGACGAGGCTGGAAGAAATTCTGAGCTGAGTCAGCGAGAAGTTCCAACGATCCTTGAGCCTCTTCTATATAACTATAGCCTCTTTAGTTTGTATCATCTACAGTGTATCAACTTCAGGATCATGGCGATAAATTGATAAAGATGTGCCGCTCTTCTATCACACTTGGGATGATCAAAATTGCTGAAGGAGGTGCTCTAGGAAAAGCTTCGTGGATGAACCTTTGTGGAAATTCCGCGCCGTAGCCGGCTACAGCTTCCAAAGCCGGTGCAATTCAGCTGAGCGCCTACGTGTCACTTGGGATTCCGATGGATGGCTGGTCCATGCTGGAGAAGCTGCATCCTTCGGTCTATATGCAAGCAGATACGCGAGTAGACGAAGTACACAAAGCATGACCAAGTTGATGACGCAGCCGCCTCCAGCAGTGGATCCCAGCAACGTGCAGGTGAGATGATTGGGAAGTGAAAGAAGAGGTGGAAGAGTGGAAAGTGACGAAGATAAGAATAGGAACATATATAGATGTTCCAAAGCAGTATTAGCATCCAGAACTGATCGACTGACCGCCAGTAGTCGTATCTGTCGCATCAGCTCTGAGAACGGCGGTGGGCAGCGGTGGCAGCGGTGGAGCTCGGAGCCAAACGGACCCCAAAAGCGAAGGATCCTTCCAGGAAGGAGATGCCTGGAGAGAGAAGATATATAATATACATAATCAGATATGGCAGATCTTCGCCATGGGATGGGATAACATCACCTTCAACTGTGAGTTCAGAGGACGAAAGAAAGTGAGTTAAAAGAGGAAACGCCAAAAAAAAAAAAAACGCCAAGACTAGACAATCATCATACAATCAACAAATTGATGCCAAAGGTTATCCGGAAGGCAAACCTGATCGCGCTGCAGTGCAAAGGATGTGCAAACAGGACATTTTTTGACAGCGATCTGTTGCAAATGCTAAAAGAAAAGTATGTTATCATTTCTTCTCATCGTCTTCTCTCGCCAAATATACGACGTTTCATGTTCTTCCGCCTTTGCGTTTTTCGTGTTTTCGTGCGGGCACGTGATCTGAACGAAAACCGGGCCCCGAGTAGGTCGACCGCACAGCTGCGGGCCGTTGACGAATTACTCAGGTCTTCGCAGCCCCCCCTGGGACCACCCTGCGCATTGTGGGTGACCACACCAGCAAAAACTAATGATAATTTCATATTAGTTTCTTCCTTCAACAGCATGGCATTCCGGTCAACTCGGACCTGGAAGCCCATGAGTTTGTCGAGGTCGAGAACAGGCTCTTGCACTTCATCTAGTGCCTCATCTGGTGCCACATCCTGATCAGGTGCTTGTGTCACCGGAAAAGGAAGCTAATCAGTCATGTTACTTATATATCATTGTTCAATCGCAAAAGACACAAAAGAAATACGCATTGGAGTTGCTTGGGCCAATGTTTTCTTGGTTACGCTGCTATGTGCAGTCTACGCCTTGTCTTTGCCAAACACCCGGCTGCTTCTCGTATCCCAATGCCCGGCAGGGTGCCCTGCAAACGTGCTCTTGATATTACGTACTCCAAATAGCAGCAAATGGTGAGCACCACGCATCAACAACGAAGGCAGCATCGACCCACCCACTTCCCCACCCAGAAAACCCCGTTGCAGCCGCCCCGTTAGCAGCCAATCAGCCAAACCAGTCCTTCCCACCACAGTCGCTCCCTCAAACAACCCCACCAACCAGGGCAAAAAACGACAAAACAGCCATTTTCTGGCTTTTTCTTTTATTGCGGAGACCATCACTAGAATCCAGGCGTTAAAACCTGCTTTGTTGCACAACAATGGAAACTAGGGGGGGGTCCTTTTAAATGCAGAATCAAAATGTGTCAAGATCAACTTCAAGATAGATGTGGCGAATACAGCAGGATTGCCTGAAACTCCAAACCACAATCTAGTGAATAAATACTCAACAAAACATAACAAACCATACAAAACCACATGAACAAACAAAAACACGCACAGCACCCTCGTGGTCACGTCAATCGGGTAATTCAAACACTCTCTCCTCGACTGCCGGTTCACTTCCTGCGATTGCAGAGAACTCGCTCTTCCACAATGTTCCTGGTAAATACAGGGAGGTGCCTGTCCGGACATGGAGCCGGACAGGCTCCCTGCTTCGAAACTTCTCGCGCGTCTCAAACTCAAAGAGACCGCACGCTGCCGGCACCAGAATCAGTGTCACCAGGGTCGAAATCAAGGAGCACATCCACAGGTTCGATGCAGCTTCATCATCCTGAGAGGAACAAGACCCGGTTTTCTTAGCACCGGTACCCACACCGGAGCAAGGGTCAAAACCAAAGATAGGGATCAAATTTCTGGACCCAGAGACCAAAAACATGCCCATTGTCACACCAAGACATGTCAAAACAAATTTTGCCAAGAGTCAATGTTCCTCCAGGCCAGGCTGAAACATTCAGGGGATTGGAAGGCTTCAACATGACAGGCCACTGTCGGACTCCCCGACACCTCAGACTTCTCGACGACCGTCGTGCTAGCTTCCCATCGCTGGTTCGCGCCAAGACCGGTCCTCAAACGGAGAACGAGGAAAAACCCTCGAGCTCTCCGAGGTTGAGAGAACTGCCCGAAATCATTGCTTGCATTTTTTCCGAGCCAAGCGACCGCATACAAATTGCGTTCATCCCCAGCTTGTCCTCCACCTGAAAAGTAATCCTGAGCAAGAAGAAAAACTGAAAAACTGGGGTTGAGTCTAAATCAAACTTGCACAGACTTTTGCAAGCATCTCAAAGCTGCTTGCGTGTCCTCATGCGTTTCAATCACTTAGAGTCCGACCAAACCGAATCCAGGAAGCTGCCTTCTGTGCCAATCTCAAGGACTTTCACCAACCCAGAGCGCGCATCAAGCTTCTCAGAGCTCGGATCTTCAATGGTGAAAGGATACGAGTCATGGAAGAAAGTGGAGACCCTTCGTCCGGAGGATGGAATCACCTCCAAAGTGATGTCATCTGCATTCACCGTCCAGCCTTCACGCGCCTGCACCGACTGGTCTGGCACTTTCAGCATGGCAAGTCCCAATTCGGAGACTCGGTGGCTCACGTCTTGGGACACGTTCGATGCTTCGCTGAGGCCCAAGCGGCTGCGCGCCTGATTCACCGAACTGATGGCTCCTTGGGGGCGCTTCGGACTCACCAAAACTGCGTGAGGGTGTTGAAGGCCTCTTCTCACCGATATACCTGGAGCCTCCTTTTTGCTGCAAGATCGTCCGCCGGAGTCCGAAAAAAGAACGCGGAGAACCTGGAAAAACATCCGGGTCCAAGATTTTGACAAAACAGGGATGATGAAAGGGTTGGATCATACACAAGCAAACTGCCTTTGCGCCACGAGTCGTTTTTCTGGAACACACTCATTCCACAACCTAATTACTGGAGCCTTCCCGTTCCCATTGCCCTCGCCCACCCTCCGAAATGCCTAAGAGCAGAACCTCTCCACAAAATTTACAGTAAGCAAACTTGTGCCTAAGCAAAAACGTCCAAGAACAAACCAAGGAGCACGCGGCAAGGGAACCCCCACTTTCTCTGCAACCGTGTCTCTAAAGCTCTTTTTACCAAGTGGGTTGCACTCCAGGGTTTTTTGTTTGCCTAAGGACCCCGACCCCCTTCCAGAAGCCGGAGTATGGGAACTTATGGCGGATTTACGGGAAGTTATGTCGGAGTTGCGGGAACTTACGCCGGAGCTACGACGCGTTTTTTTTGTCAACTCCCTGCAAAACATGGGGATTCTGAACAAGGATTCTGAACAACGCACGTTTCCAACCCAAAACTTTCCGGCAGGCTCTGCAAGCCTGCGTAGCTAGAACTATTTCCCAGCGCCCCGACATCCTTAAACAATGGGAATCCGTTATCGCCTATGTTCTTTCATTCAGCTGAGGTACACCCACTTGCGTCTTTCAACACGTGCATCGCACTGTATCGAGTTATTTAGAAGATCACCTGTACGGATCTGATTGAGCCAGTGTGAACCACTGCTGAAACCGGTGGAATGAGAAAACAGCGGAACAGGCAAACGAGCACACGTTCAAGGAAAATTATTCGTCAGTAGTTGATTTACCTTCAAAGAAATGCGGACAACAAAGAATGCAAAGCCTGGAAATTCACATAAAGTGAGTTAGAAAAACTGCCGGACCAAATCCAGAAAAACGCCTGAGTTGGAATTCCGGCGCCGGACCCTGTAAAAGTGCCGGACTGAAGATCTAGGTATAAGATGCATATTAAATCATATCATGGAGCATATTGTATACAATATATGTACATGCAAAGGCCTGTTCTCAATATATATATATATATGCTTATATTGTGATCTTATATGTTACCCGTCTATGTTCAAGACCGGTTCGCAATGCAAAAACACCCTTCCTCTCAGCAGAAGTCGTTAGCATTGGGTTTTCACACCTCTTCATAATCGTTTCGTGGGCCTCTGTCGAAGTGTTTTTTTGGTCATCCTGAGCTCCTGACTTAGAATTGTTGCAAGGGTCTCTTCGCCAGCTGGGTTGGTGTTAGGCGCAAGACTAAGCTCAATATACTTGCTCAGTAGATCGCTGGCTTCTAAAAGGTTCACTTCGTCCGCAGCGTCATCTGTGACCAGTGCACTTGTCACCCAACTCAATTCTCGCAGAATCTCCACTGTGGCATCAACATTCTGAGCTGCCACCTTTCAGGGACACCGGATGTCATAATCTGCAAAAAACAATATACAAAATACAACTAATATACATACATATATTATATGATCATATATTAGTTGTATATATAATTATGTATATTCCATCCAAACGAGGTCATGGCCTTTAGAGCCAGGAGTAAGTGGCTCAGGCTTTGGGTGGCATTGCTCTTGTAAATCGCGTTCACGGTGTTGAGCATTTGCTGTCCATTCACTGTGGACATCGAAGCCTCCCATGGCCAGACGTATGGACATCGAATACTCCCAGACCCCATGGTTGCGAACAGTCCAGGGTTGTGGCCACATGGGCATGTTACATGTTGTTTAAATTACAAAAAAAAAGAAGACCAATCCCCGGTCTCGCAACACCGTGCAAGAAGATCAAGAAAGATCAAGATCAGGAAGGAAGTTAGACCTCAACCAATCGGTTGGGAGATCCCCCCCGGTCTCCCAAATACTAAGACTTAATTGCCCGACAACGAATCTACCTTTCTGGGCAATACATTGCTCTTCTTTCGATTTGTTTAAACCCACATGTCTCATGATTCTCATGCGAAGCTCCGGTGGTGTTTCATCAGCATCTCAGTGCCGCCGTCTAGTGGTTCGTGCTTCCTGCTTCGCTGATGTGGCCCTGCCTGCAGAACCTGTGCCGCGGCAGCAAATTGGTCATCTATCTCAGCAATGCTCCAATTCAGAGAAATAGATGACCAGGCCTGGTCAATGCGTGCAAAATGGTTGTCCCTATCATCCCTTGCTGACCACATTCACAACCCAAGGAAGATTACGCCCCTGCTGAAGTTCCCTCACCTCTGCTCCGAGGTGATCTCGAGCACGAGCCAAAAGGGAGAAGTTGCCCGGAGGCATCCGAATGTCAGACACCGTCTTGGACTTCCCCTCCGACGAGAGGCGCCGGCGACGCTGACGCTGACGCTGACGCTGCGGCGACATCGTTCGAGCGGCAACATCCGCTGGTTCCGAGACGAGTGGCCCAGCTGCGAAGAAGGATCCCACCGTGTTTGGAGAAGTAGCTCTCGTTGAAGGTGTTGCTGAAGTCCAGCTCCTGAGGATCCTGCGTGGCCAACCCTTTTTGTCGGTCTGTCACCTTCGTGCGGATCGGATTCCGACTGGGGATCCGAGTGAAGTTCTCTTCCGCATGAGGGAACCCGGCCTTGGAAGATGACGTACCAAAAAAGATGCTGACTGATTCCATGAAGGAAGTGTGTTTACGGCAGACCGTCGGTTCTTCGTCTCCAGCCTTCGAGGCGTTCAGAGCATAAAAACTGTACTCGAGTCGTTCTTCTTCTTCGTCTTGCCAAGAATGGGTGGTGATCGTGAACGAGGTCGTGACCTGAACATGTGGAACAAAAGGTCAAAAACGAGGTCAACAGGACTCATGAGTTCAAGATGTGTGTCTTGTCCATGTCTTGTCCATGTGAAAATGTGTCAAGCAGAGTCATGACATTCACGAAAACGATGTATGAAACCGTGTGAAACCATGTGTGAAACCTTGCAACTTAGGCCGCAGCTGCCTCACCCGCGGGCGGATTCACCTCCACCACTCCCAGCTCTGGTGGCCCATCCACACGGAAGCTCGGTGAGATGGCAATCATTCGATCATCAACGATATCAACGACTTGCCCAAGCGCCAGTCGCTGCTCTGGAACAGTGGACAAAGCAAAGTAGTAGACGCCTGCTTTCTCCAGGGAGTAGCTGGGGAAGTCGAGAGTGGTGATGCTTTCATTCCTCAGAAAGAACGGAAAAAATGGAGAGCCGTCCTTTTGAGGGCCCAAAGAAACGCTAGGCCATGTAGCACTAAGCATACGACCATCAAAAGGGGAAAGCGAATAGTCCTCGACCTACGAAAATAGGGCGACCAGAAAGCGACCCACTAAGCCGGGCGAGGAGTCGCGGACCAAGTCGAGTGTTCGCTCTTGGGGGGATCCAAATCTGTTCCAAGGAGCAGTTCCCGCGGCTCGGACTTGAGATATCTCAGTAGAGTCCAGTTGGCTCCATCCAGCAGCACCCATTGCCAGTGGATGTCTTCGCCGCGGCCACATTGGGGATCGAGCACTGCTGTGGCATTCACACTCCCTGTCACTTGGGACAACATTTGGCCATCTATCCACGATGTCTCCAACGTCACTGTGGGAACTTGATGCGGGAGGACACGAATTGTGGAAGTAGTCGAGGCAGCCTTGCTCATGTCTTCCCATTCTCTCCAAACATGAAGCGTTATCTTGTAAATGCCAGCTTCAACATCACCACCTCTGGGATGTTTTCAAACGCTTTTCAGCAGGTAAAAGTAACAAATGTGGATAAGGATAGACTGATCCACAGAAAGACGGGAGTAGTCGAACGATCCTGGAAAAAAAAGAAACACCTTTCCAATCTCATGTGCCCTTTGGTATCCTTAGGCTATCATCTGGAGAATGGGCTTTCTTGAAGGATTTGAGCAAATCCATCTCGTCATGTCGTGTTCATTCTGAGTCTTTGGACCACAAAAGCCCATAAAGTCCTATCTCAGCAACAAAAACGAAGAAAACAGAGCTGGACCACGCAACCATCGCGTGGACTTTTGTAAGGCCCAGCTCCGATATCCCTGATGTTGAACTTGCACCCGCAAAAAAGGAAAACATTCAATACGTCGCACAATTTGTTGGGAACATTTGTCCGATATCTCAATCATCCTTCCATCAACCCTCCTCCCACCTTGTACGCTTAAGGTTGAAGCCTTTGACTGCAAATCACAGGGCAAATGCTCTGAATCGCACGTCCACTTGTAGCCAAACCGTGTCAGCGCGCGCTCCGATGGAGGTATCTGGGCAGGGTCAGCGCGTTCGTTTTCAGTGTTCAATCCTGTCAAGTGCAGTGTTCAAGGATGGTACAAAAGGTAGCGAAGCAGCAAGGGGGGAGGAATCAGCCAAACACACCAATACCGTCAATTAGACTCTTGAGGTAGATAACCCCCCCCAATTGGAAGTAAGAGGACGCCGCTTCAAGACGGGGTGGTTGATCTACCCTCTGACTCACTAACATGGAAGTGGATGGCATGGTCCCTTGGAAGACTACTTTCCTCTACCAACAAGAGGTGAACTCCACTTCGTGATGTGTTCGTCAGAGTGTACCTCAAGAGTCTACCCGACTGGTCACTTCTACTTCCCGACTTCAGTTCACCCGGTCAGATCGCCTGTTCATCGAATGACCGACTTCTCAGCGTAAAGTTGCAGCTTCGTGAGACGGTCGTCGGGCCAGAAATTACCGGCACCAGCCTGGGAGAAGCCGACCGGTGAAACATGCCAAGGATATCCAAGGATCTGCCAAGATCTACACTGTGTCTAAAGCCTAAACACACAGCAACATCTCAGAAAGGAGGTGAAGTTTTATCCACGGCCTTTAGAATCAAAAGGCACATTCGCACAAGGCACACTGAGGCAAAGAGATCTCACAGAAACCATGACCCCAAATGTTGCTAAATCTCAGCATGCGTCGAAAATGTGGGAGGCAAGGACACTCTGGCGCGGCACTCCTGTAATTAATAAGGCACACTTGCTAGACACTCTTGTAGAATCTTGTAGAACACTCTTGCGCGACACCCTTTCGAGGACACTCTTCTAGGTCACTCTTGTCTGCTACTCGAAGAGCACTCTCTGGAAAAAAAATTGCGGGACGCTCTTGCGAACGTAGCTGACATGCTTGCGGCACACTCGTGTCCTTCCTTGCCGCATAAAAAATTGTAGTGCACTCAGGGCACTCTTGTGCCACTGGTACTGTGACTCAATAGGGGTGGGCAGTTCACTCAGAAAGTTCACAAGGCTTCTACGCATTGATCGTTCTGCTTCACACACTTTGGGCAAGCCACAAATAATAAACATCTTGAGGCGGTGTCTATACCTGAAACCTCATTCGGCTGAACAATCAGCCTGAGTCAAGAAATGAACCATCGGCCCACATTGTGCGCCAAATTACTGAGGCCAACTTCGATATTGGGCTGCCGTCAGGCATCACAAAATCCAAGTGTGCGCACAGCTACAGTGTGGCTGCAGTCATGTTTTGAGATATTCAACCAAAGCGGCAAGGCTACGAAACTTCTTGCCAAGGGTGGCGACACTTCTGGGACAATGGCGCTGCCGGGCTGCGAGGCTGTGCATTCGAGGGATCTAGGTATGGTGCATTTAAGACCAGAAGTGTTGAGAAACTGTCCAGGCTGCACTGTGCACGGAGGTAGGTTGGCCTTGATACAACTGTATGTGTGACGATGGTGATTCTTTTTGATCTTTTTCAGACTACATTCCAAACTGATCGACTAATCCGGAGTACCTATGAATAAACACTCCCCAATTAAAAAACACAACGTCCGAAGCCCTAAATTCGGCTTATATTTGCTTTTTAATTAGCCCTTTCAACCCGCTAATGACCTACCAACATGGTCGATTTTGGGGGTAGTTTTTCTTTTTAATTAGGTTCCCCCAAAACTCCCTCGTGACACGCCGCATTTACACCAGCCGGTTTTCCTTCCTCCAATGGCACGGACTCACGCAAACGCATTTGCCTCCGAGGTCGTGCAAAACCGCATGGCACAGCGACATCACCTTTCGAAAGCTTTGGTTGTTAGTCTAATGAAGAATCAGTATTCTAATAAAGGTGTTTGTAGGGGAAAAGGAAGAAAGACCCTTCGATCTGAAAGTTTTTCGAATTTTTGATACGAGTTTAATAAAGGATTTTATATAAAACTTGTCTGCATGACTTTTTGGTTTTGAAGCTCTTCCCAGGTGACCCTATTTTGGACCCCTCGATTTCACGGACCCCCTATTAGAAAAAATGCGACCGAGTTTCTCTTATTAGGGAGGGGGGGGGCCATGTTTATTAATAGGTGGAAGGGATTACATTGATCGGTCGCAGCAAGGCCAACAGCCACAAGCCTGCAGGAAGCCATAAGAAGTCACGCAGCCTTGCATTCAACGGAAGGCGGAGCCTTTCTCATCTGCAGGTTCTTTCTTTAAGGTGGACAACGAGGTGCTTCCTGGGGGTTGACACCCCTTATTTTGAGACACGCCCCAGAAAGCGAAAGAGTGAAACACGATGAAAAAACGGGTGGCAGCAAAGGCACCTGGGTGGCTCCGGGACGGCCACGATAAAGTCTAAGTGCCGTGAGTGGGCCGGAGAAGCCTGGCGAGTTGGGGAGAAAACAGCTGCGAGCTGTGCTCGACTACTTGGGCTGTTTGGAGGACCGGGTCTGGGCCAATCCAGAGGTTGAAGAACCAGGCTATCCCACAGGTACCCCAGTACGGTCCTATAAGGTCACTTAACCTCTGTTGGATGGCGGCCATGTTCTACCCCAACTCTGAGCGCTTGTGGGGTGCAAGAAGCGTCTTCGCACGATAGGGTTTTGGTAACTTCAGACAGACCACTTCTAATTAAATACACTATGTAGCAATCTGTAAACAGGTTTCGCTGGGACCTTTCTCGGACAATATGGGCCTCAATATATAAGTGCCTAGATGCTTGGCAAATTGTGGACTAAAGCGGAAGATGGACTGAGCCGTGGACTGAGCCGTGGACTGAGCCGTGGGCCCTCCAAGTGTCCCACATCCGTTCGTCCAGGCCTTGTAGAAGGCCGATGCTCTGAAGCCATGCAGAGTTCCACTGCCAAAGGTGTATTCACGCAGTCGTAGACCAGCTTGACTGGGGTCTTGGTCAGCGCCAGGGTGTCTCGTCAAAGCGCTCCATTGGATCTCCACCGCACCTTCAACACATCCATTCTCTTGCACCTTCACGGCAAGCTCCAAGGGTTTCGCAGGATCCAGAACCATCTCTTGCACGGTGGCCGGAATCAAGGGCGGGCTCAGCGAGTCAGCCGAAACCTGAAGTCGTCGTCGAGTCTTTCAAGCCGGATAGATTCTGACAGCTCTCTCTCCACCAAAGGAGGTTCTTGGGGTGTCTTCTTGGATTGTGCCTCTCCTGGTGTCTTGTTCTTCGAAAGCTATGACACCAACCCTGCACACGTTCATGCCTCCAAGATGCTTGAGCCAGTGCATGTGCAGTGCTAGAATAATTCTGCCAGTTGGTCATCCGCACCTCGATTTCAATCTGTGCGTTGCCCTCGATAGCCTGCGCTGTCTGATAGTCCTCTTTGCCTACATGTTGGTTACATGTTGTTCCGGGTGAAAATGGATGACGACAGCGAAAATGATGTTGCAATAGGCGAGGCTGGATCCAAAACCAAGAAGGAAACCAGAGGAACACATCACCCACATCCACCACCTATGCTGCTGTGAGGTGGTCTTGATCGATTGCGGGCGTAATGCTTTGCTGTTCAGAGGCCAAAACCGACGCCGGAGAACCATGGTGGAAATCAAGACAAAGCTTATGTCTGCACATATACTGTAAGGTGTATTGCCCAGACGCTCCAAACGGCCCTTGGTCCCTTAAAGCCCAGGGATTTGAGACCCCCCTTCGTATGAGGGTCCGACCATATGAGGGTCCCTGAGCGTCTGGGATGTTTGCTATCTATCTACACTAAGCACCTGCACCAGCGGGAGTGCCTTTCCCATAGTACAGGCTCCCGACACATGCAACATCTGGTGTTCAACAGCTACTTTCTACGATTTTCGTAAGTCCGAAGGTTCCTTGCTGTTCACGTCCTTCGGCAAAGGCCTGTGATATAAACGTTCACACAGTTTGACAGGGAATTGTATAGATGTAACCTGTATACTAAGCAACTTGAAATTGGTGAAGACCATGAACGAGAAGTCTGAGGAATGCTCTGCCGAGGCTACACTCAGACTAAATTTGGACACTACTCTTCAAATGAACATGTCGGTGTGGCAGCCGCAAGGGAAAAAAAGGTTGCAAAGCTCTGTGCACTTTCCACCCAGCCTGCGCTGAGGGGTCAATCTCCAGAACAGTGCTTGAAGAGAGACTTGCTGCGTCCAGTTTGTCTTCCAAGTCTTCCAACTGCGCAACATTGAGACCAGTGGTCTGATTGCCCAAACGCCATTCCAGCAGCATGCTGCCTGAGTGACTGTACATGTCGCCAAAGAGAACGTCGATAGACACTTGGTACATTCTAAGTTGCGCACCTTCACTACCAACAGTGAGTTCATACATGTTGGAAGGTTTGGATTCTTCTGTTTTCAGAAGAACGTTTTGGAAGGTGTTGGAAGGTTTGGACCGGATGACATCTATCTTGCACGAAACATGATCTACGAGCTCGGGAGGCCATTCCGTACTCGGGTCCGGTGCCGGTGTGCACGAAGAAGAAAGGGTCCGGTCCGCGGAGGTGAGTGGAGCGACCAAGACATGGTGGCTGGCTAATATGGCACAGTCCGTGCAATCGATTCTCTATATGAAATTCATATCAATGCAGCATTATGCATATCATTTCCATTGAACATGCTATACAGAAAATCACATTATTCAAATTCATAGCTTCCCAACGCGAGGCTAGCGCTGTGCTATGCGTCACTCCGCGGACCGCTCAGCTTGCGGAGCTCTGCCCCGATCGAAGAACCGGAGAACTGGACCTGCGAGGGAGGACCCCCTGATAGAACTGGTGGTTTCTGCGCTTGCGGACGTACTACTGGACATACAGACTGAGGTCAAACCAAAGAAAAGTGAAGCCATGTTAAGCCCATGCGCCAGGGGGAGCCTTGAGAGTTGCCGCATGGTCTTCAGCACTGACCGGTCAGTGTTCTTCATTGTCTGTATGGGTGATCAGTGTTCAGCATCCGAAAACATGCGTTTTTTAGCATCCGCTCAAAACGTTTGATGTCTTCATTTATCTGGTTGTCGACTCAAACCATCGCCAAAAAGGCTTCAACTAGTCAATCGGGACAAACCCATCCCAATGAAGACGGGCAAAAGATATAAAATCAAAAAAAGAATGCAATGAATAAATGATCATAAATGAACAAAAACACACCGCCAACCGCGAGTCTTTCACAAATGTCCACCCCAAGGTACGGCCCGCCGCTCCACTCGAGAGCTCCGTGCTGAAGCGAAGCATCGAACACCGTGCGTTCACGGCGCTCGGCGCCGTGAGCACCGCCTGGACCTTCACGGCGGCAGATCCAGGACTTCGCTGCGCGACCGCCCGAAGGACATCGGGCGTATCGGTTGGCGTCCCGCTGTCACCGTCGACAAGAGCTTGAACAGCTTCAGGTTGAAAGGAGATCCAGTCGCCTGCGAGAAGCCGAGCTCGTTTGCCCAAATGCACCTGAAGCATCTGAGAACACCACTGAAAACTGATGTAGATTTGAGGTCAGGAAAAGCACGCGACAAGACCATACAAGATCACTCTGAACTTCAGCACTTCAGAAGCCAAAGCAACCTGTTGGCGGTCTTGACAGGTAAGCAATCTGACTACAGTACAACTAGAAGAAGAGCCCTCTGCTTACAGCGGAGGACAGAGCGCAAACGGCTGAATTCCACCACCAAGAAGCCATCAGTTGAGAATCGGAATCCGTCGCCCACGAGCAGCGAGGCTCATCCCCAAGCTTGCTGGCCTCGTTTTGGGAGGCAAAAAGGAACAACACCTCATCCTCCACCTCTTAGAAGCCTAGCATGGACAGCAAACAACAAGCAGCTCAAACAGCTTTGCCGTAGCTTGTTTCAGCTCAATGTTTGTTGCCATGCTTCCTCTCAACATCTCCGAATGCCGAATACTCTCGCTGGACTTTTGCTGTAGAGCAGCAGTGGTATTCGAGAAGAGATCGAAGCATTCCAGAACAGGCCTTCAGGTGTTGTGCGCAGTTCCAAGTGCGGTAAGAAGGCGATGTCGACACATCACCAAACATCCAAGATACAAACTGCAAAAGCCCACTGGGTGGTCGCAGTGCGTGTTCCCACTATGTCGTGCTAAGGAAAAGCGATCTGCGATGTGCAACCGAAAGGACCACCGAGCTACCGTGAAATACCAAAACGTTGGAAGCAGAAATCATGCGATCCGTGCGTTAGACGCATCAGCCATATATGACAGTGGGTCAGAACTAGGGGACCCTTGGTTGACCACCCCAAATGAACAAAAGAGACTGCTAAACATGGTCAACCTACATGGTCCATGGGTCCATGGGGGTCCAGATTTTTTCCATGCCATACGCATAAAAAAAGGCACCATTATACACCAAACCGTTGACCGTCTCCAGTAACGTAGACTCTTGAGGAGCATAAACCATCCATATTAAGAGGATTTCCTCAACTGGGTGGCTCGATCAAGAGTCTACCTTTTCGGGCTCGGTGAACCTCCAGAACGTGCCTTTCGTCCGCGAACCCCACCTCCAGACCTCGCCTCGACGTGGAACCGTTGAAGTGGATCTGCACCGTTAAGGCGGAGACCACGGCCGTGACACTCAGCGAATGCGGCATCGCACCTCACCGAGCTTGGAAAACGACCACGAGCGACGCGTCGGGAAGACAGGATGAAACTGAGAAACTTCGATGCCATCACCCAAGTATTGATGAAACTGTGATGAAAAACCAAGTATTGAGACGGAAAGTTCTACAGGCACTGCCTGGAATAAGGGATACGGGCCACACGTGTCTCGTTCCTTTTGACCACACGTGTCTCGTTCTCCTGCCTCGGAACGCCACGAGGTCCCAAAACCGTCACACGTTGTCAGCAAGCGTTAAACCCCTTGATGCAAGGTCGTTAGGTCGTTTACCACATCAAACCGTTATCAAAAGCACCTTTGGACATGAACGGTGCTTGTTGTCAGCGTAGCCATCAATCAAACGTTCGTCTGTGCTCCCCACCCCCCGTTGTGCCCTCCGCTTTGTTTCCTCACCGTGCTGATAGGTCGGTCCCCATCCCTCCCTAGTTTCTGAGTTGCAGTTGTTGGTCGTGGTTTCTGAATTGGTATCGCTCTCGTCCTATCGCAATGCACTGTCCTACAATTGCTTTAGACACAAGCCTACAATGTCCAAACCAAAAGAATCAACCGGTTTTAGAAGTCTTCTTCACCTCATCAAAATACAGGAAACTCCTGCATCTCCTGCCTGGTGCCACGTTTTGCCAAGTGTTGGCCCTGAAGACTGTGTGGCCGTCATATGAAATATTGGTGGCGTTAGCCTGTACAAAGGGAGCCTGGATAGCAACCCTTCATATGACTTGCGTGGGCTGCGTGGGGTTAATGTCTCATGGGGGGCAGGCAAGCTCTGCAGCTAGTTTGGTTGGAACCACTGGCGCATTGCATATGCTGTAAGAGCTTGGCACTCAGATCATCACGTATCCTAACACTACGACCAGCTGGCAAATTGAGCAAGAGCGGGCTGGCAAGAGCACTGTATCTCTATTAGTGTAGGTCTTCCTCCTTGAAACAAGTGAGTGGCAGATGCCATGCACAAAAACCAACGTTCACTACAACATGTCAACTTCTACAACACCTAATTTGAACGACATCACGGTCCACGCATCCCCGACAGATGCTCTTCATCCCTGACACATGACTTTTCAGTCCACAGCATCTGATCTGCTATGCTACAAACACAGCCACGCCAGGCCCTCGCACCGGCTAAATTTCAGGGTGCTTCTTTGAAGCCGTCGTGGCTGCCGTTGCCTGCGCTGCATCGGGCCTTTGCTGTATTGCTGTTTTGTTTCATGACTCCTTATGCTGCAACAGAGATGTCTTTTCTCTGCCAAAGCCTCCAAAGCATCAAGGACAAAAGTTCACGTGGCACAACTTACTGTCCTGTCAAACAGGGAATCCATCATGGATGCGATACAGCGACAGCCGGCACCTGCGAACCATGTAGTGACAAACAGCTGCAAAACACAGACTTTGACGATGGGTTTGCAGTTAACTGAATTCCCAGGTCAAAAGGAATGAGGGAAACGCAAGGTGAAAGGGTCAGCGCAACTGAATTGTTGAACCATTGTTCACTTGTCTGCAGAAACGCGGCTGAACGATGGCGGCTGAAAGCAGCTGAGGGAAACCTGTTTGAGGGGAAAGTATCGTGAGCAACCACCATGCAAACAAAGCGAGATTGGAACAGCTTGATCAAAGGTTGAGCGCAGGTACGTCGAAAGCGCGTCCTCTTTCGATATCCTAGTCTGATCCTGGAGCTTCGTTGGCTCACGCCAGGAAACAGACCCGTGAGACCCCTGCGATATGAGCCGAACCGAAACTCTTTGGAACAGAGTGTGACACACACACTCAGCCGCTTCGCGGCGCTCGCGCGGAAAACCTAAATAGGCACCTAAAGCGCCTTAGAAACAAAGAAAGAAAACCAGAAAGAGCAGCGCTAAAAAGGGCAAGAGAGAAAGATAGGCGTAGCAAAAAGTGAATACTTAGCCCTTGACTGCGGCAGGGAAACGAGCCTCAAGAACTACCTAAAAAGCCTGAAAGAAAGCCCAAGAAACGACAAAAAGCTTAAGAAAGAAAGCGGGGGGAGCAGGGAGGTGTATGTACATGTGTGTGTGTGTCCGTGTGTGTGTGTGTATGACTACCTAGCACTCTAGAATTCCTGACTACTTAGCAGAAATGAATTAGGTGCAATAATAGTTAGGGAGCGGGACTTTAGTCTTATGCCGCCCGGGTAGAGTAGACTAGAAAAGGGACAACAGAGGGAAAGGCACCGACACACAAGTGTGTCGAGTACCATTTCCCTCTGTTACCCTTAATTAGAGGGGGGAGGGGTTGGGGTGTTTGGGGTAGAGAACACGTTGGGGTTCATTCTCCGTTGACCCGGCGGTTTGGATATCCGTGAAGCCCGGTAGTGAAACGAAAATCAGTTAAGATAATCCAACGTGTGCAGAAAGCAGCAAAGTCTGTTAGTGGTAGTCCGGCATGAAATCAGCGCCCCAGTGACCGGGATCACACTGTGCACCCAAGTGGGACAGCACAGCGGCACACACTTTGACAATGGGTTTGCAGTTAACTCAATTCCCAGGTCAAAAGGAATGAGGGAAACGCAAGGTGAAAGGGTCAGCGCAACTGAATTGTTGAACCATTGTTCACTTGTCTGCAGAAACGCGGCTGAACGATGGCGGCTGAAAGCAGCTGAGGGAAACCTGTTTGAGGGGAAAGTGTCGTGAGCAACCACCATGCAAACAAACCGAGATTGGAACAGCTTGATCAAAGGTTGAGCGCAGGTACGTCGAAAGCGCGTCCTCTTTCGATATCCTAGTCTGATCCTGGAGCTTCGTTGGCTCACGCGAAACAGACCCGTGAGCCCCCTGCGATATGAACCAAACCGAAACTCTTTGGAACAGAGTGTGACACACACACACTCTGACACTTGTATTCAGTGACTCAACTACCACGATGGGAAGGATGGCGATGGAACAGCAAGGCGAAAAGGTCAGCGCAACTGAA